GTTACCCAATGATAAAAGAAAAAAAAAAAAGAAAAAGCCAGGCTAAACAAGGCAGTCACCAAAAAGTTTCAGCAGCACAGTTCAAGAGCATCACCACCAAAACAGTATCAAAGTCTATCAAGTTCTGTATAAATTGGATTTTCTAAGACATGATTTCTATTTTTGTATCAGAAGCTTAACAGATGAATTTTAAGGATGCCCCTTCCCCAACCTCTGCCCCCGGAAAGGAAAAGGAAACTAGAACTTGAAGCTATGAACACAAGAAGGAGACTGTCAAGGTAATTGTAATAACAGGGAAAGTATAAGCTTACCATGCGAACCTCACCACCAAGGCCAATTTCACCAATGAACGCAACTCCATTGGGAATAGGAAACTCTAAGAAGCTGAGCAAGACAAGAAGCATATGTTTATCAATTTAGAACAACATATATCAAATAATTTACCAAAACGAGAAAAAAGGTACAAAATATATTGTTCAGGTGCTGCGTGCGGGAACTTGTAAGACTTTACCAAGTATAGAGTCATTACTAATGAAATGGAACGTAGCAATCAGGTGTGATGAAATGAAAGTGATGGAAATAAGAAAAACAAGTAAAAAGTTATATTCTAGAATCAAAATCTACTGAAAAAACTTCATAGCTTAAACAAAACAAATCCCATGCCTGCTACAAATTGATGCTGCTATTGCAAGATCCCCAGCAGTCTCTGTCAATGACACTCCACTGACAACATTTAGAAAAACAGCCTGGTACGATAAAGGGACAAAAATTACATAATTATATTCAAAAGAACATATAATATACATTCATTTTTTTCTACAACTGTAACTAAAAGATCCAAATGCTGAAACATTCTCGACCAAATATAAGTTAAATTTCAATATATTGACAATGCTTAACAGAATATGCTAAAAACACAAGGAATCACAATCAAAGTAGAAGTAAAAATCTCTTTTGATAAGGATGAACAAGGAAAAGTACTGAACTTCAAACCATAAGAAGTGGACAATGAATCAGAGAGGACAAACAGTAAACAGTAACTTACATTTTCTTGGATCTTTAGACCAGCTTGCTTGGCAAGGACCTACAATTAATACATTAAAACAGTCAATTCAGAATTGTAGCCTTGTAAATGCAAAGTAGTAAAGTCTAGTGTTACCAAAAAGTGTAAAAGCACGCAAATGATTGATTCCTAACTCACCGCAAGATGAGAGTAGAGTTTGCTGATATGAGTTGACTTAAATACCAATGTTCAAATTGCCTTTTTCATCAAAATGATGAAAATTGCAAAGTCAAGTAACTCAAGTTGGTAAAGTACATTAAATTAATTATAAGATAATTTGCTTCTGAGATTCATAATCAGAAAATTCTAATATTCCAAAATGAGTACTTATTTCCTTACCTTTCATTCATAATTAACATTTCTTTTCAAGAAAACCTAATTATTCAAGCTGATGAAAACCTTTACCAATGCTTGACACTGAAGATACAAGAGGGAACTTTTCTGAGGAACCATCCTTTTAACTTTCACTATTGACCAATTTCTTATATGTTAATAAGTGGACAATCACCAAGCCTTGAGGTAACGGAAAATTTGAACGTTGGTCTCATCATCTCACTGCAGGATCCATCAGCATTACAATTAAAGTAATAAACTAAAACCTGACCATTGAGACTAGCAGTGAGAAAATGAGCATTTGACTACCTCACTTGAGGTAAGAGACTGGAAATCACAGCATATGACATATAATATAACTACATACTTCTGAAAAAAACCTGTAAACCTACATAAGTAAAAGTAACAGTATCAGAAAAGACAGCCTTCATGGCACAGAGATGAAATATTTACAGGAGAACTAAATGGCACTTACGGAGATAATCATGTCAGCTCTGCTTGCTTGGATTCCATTAACATGCCTAGAAACTGTTGAGCTAGATACACACAATGCCTACACAGGATTATAAAAGTCAATTAAAATTATTTGTAGGACACTGATACTAATAAGAAATGTTACAAGACTGAAACAGTAAAAATACTGAAAATTATTGAGGGAAAGGGAGGGCTATAAGAGAATGGTATCCTTTCCCTTGTTTGGGTTTCGAAAACTACCCCTCCGGAACCTTCTACAGTCCCATTTTTGTGATTGGGAGGATGGGAGGGAGAGGATACCCATTACAAAGTTCTGACTGCATAGATGAAATCACCTTTATATTGATATTTCCTTTTAACCAATAAAGGATCCCATTGTAGAAATACATGATAAAGATAAATAATCCATCATAAATCATAATCCACATGCAAGGGAGAAAATTCTAAAAGTATAATTATCGATAAGCCCACTGCTTTGTCCTGAACTCATAATAATCCTTTTAAGTATAGTACTAAATAATAAAATAAAAGATTTTATATCCATTAATTCATTAAAAGTAGAAACCCTCTGATAATGAAATGTTGTTAGAAACATGAAGCAAATGAGATAAAAAGGACAACATATAAAAGGAAAGTACCTGAATTTCAATAAGGAAAGCCCGAGATCCATCCATAATCACTGCAACAGCAAGTCCAGCTAAAAACTCTGAATCTGAGTTCTGATCACTTAAAAACATCTCACTGGGGTTTGAAACAGCTTGCAGTCCCAATTGCGACATTTCAAATACTCCAAGCTGATGGTAGAAACGCTCATCAATACAAAAGCCAGTAATGGATTCACATGAAATATTTGAGTTGAAAGAAATCAAAGCCTTAACAAGATATTCAACACAGAAAAAATAAAAAAATGATGATGATTCAAAATACAAGCAAGTTGAGGATCCCCCTGAGCCATTCATATTTAAATAGAAGCAAAAAACATAACATCTCTGTCATTGGTACCTCGTCAGTTGACCCAAAACGATTCTTCACAGATCGAAGCAAACGATGAGATGAGCACTTTTCCCCCTGCAAATGATAGTATTTATGTTATCAGAACCACGATATATGATTTCAAGAACTGACTCATGGCACTAAGGAAACTATTTCTGAAATGGAAAATATGAAGAGTAAAAAACAGTACTTGGATAATAGGTTACAATCAGGAGAAGAAAAATATCAACAACTCCAAAAGTACAGTTTCGAACAAAAAAGGGTATTCCAATCAGTTATATTTCAATACAAATTTCATGGAAAGTAAAAGCATTTTAGTCATCAACAAAGAAGATTAAAAAGAATATGTGCAAATTTTTGCAAAGTTAAAGAACATGATGCTAATATAATTTGAGCTAACATCTGATAATGGACATTTTAAGCAAGCTTTTTGTCTCTCTTTTGTAATGACAGGCCATTGAAAAGCAGTCCACAATAGCAATGACATGTAGATCTGTGTTTCTAGTTTTCCCTTTGCTTCATTTAAAAAAAAAAACACTCTTACTTTTTTGTCCAACATTTGTGCAAAAATCTCAAAAGTGTTCTCTGCACATACTTTGCATATTCGTCACTAGGCAGATACATATTCACATTATAACTGATCATTGTTGCTAATGAAATTTCTGTCAGAAAATTCTAGTATGGACACCTGACAAAATATGCCACTTCAAAATACTTTAAAAAAACGTGGAAGGGGAAAAATAAAAGCTCTAGAGAGATGAGAATAAAATGAGACATCAATTTCACCAAAGGATAAAGTAACTCAATTTTCCAAGGATAAAAATGCATTATCTCCAACTTGTTTAACTTGTATTAATGTTAGGAGCTTCTATAAACTAAAGCTACAACATTGTATCCAATTAAAAAAACAAAAAAAGGAGATGTGTAATAAAGAAAGAAACCCACACAAAGACAACAAACCAGCAATAGTGAAAAATAAAAAGAGGCAACAAGGTACCAACTTCCAGATATAAGACAGCATCTACAATGTGCTCCAAGACACGAGGTCCTGCTATATCACCAGATTTTGTAACATGCCCAACCTGGCATCACAAAAAAGAAGAGGAAAAGTCTGAAAGCAGAACTCAGAACCAATAATGTGACTGGATGAAGTTAAAGCAAACAAAGGTCAGCAAAACATGTATATCAGCCTACTCATGCAACATTTTCATTAAAAATTTTATTAGCACAAGCAAAAATGTATACCTCAATGTGAAGAAGTCATTTTCATAAAAACCAAGTGTGACAACTGAATTTGTATGGCCAAATTCTGCCATACTATGCATGTGCTCAAGAATAATCCTCTCCATCCCCACATCGCTCTCATTCTCTTTTCCTTACAGCTGGTAAGATTTAAATCCATGACCTATTCTTGTCTCCCCTCACTTCTTTACCACCATGTCTATTGCCAAAAGCTTAGCAATAAAGATAAATCATTAGTATTTATCCAGCTTTTGCAACTAATGTGCAGGTTCAACCCCAAACAGCCAAAATGCATCAAACACAGGACATATATTAGACATTAAAAAGCAATCACCTGGTTAGCATCCATCTAGCCCTAGGACAATCAAGTTATCATTTTTAACATGCTTATCATCAATCATCTGTCAAGAGGCAACAGTAAATCATCTTGCCCGAATTACCAGATTACCATCTAATGCAGATTAACTTTGCTTGAGAACATCATGTAAGTGCTCTATCCTTCAACAGTCTCATGCTATGCTTCCTTTTAGTCAGTTAATTCATTTCCTTGCACCCTTTCAAGCACTAAAAACAGAAGGGCCATTCCATTAGAAGCATACCTCCATCTTAATTATCAGCAATCAATATACATTTGCACAACTTCGTTTCCTCAGCCACTAAGCACCAGCAATGTGCTTGAAGAATAAACATAAATAGTAAATCTCACCTAAATAGCTGAGCAACAATATAGAAATCTTCAAATTTCCAAACAGCTAAACTAAAGGAGAAGCCACACAAAAGAAATGCTTGGGAACCATCCAAACCATGTTCATAAAAACTACCATGTTCATAAAAACTATCTGTTGATTTAACATACTATTAAATTTGACATAACAAGTCAAAAATATAATAAATAAAAACCCACATATTCAATTACCCTATTTAAGAGTAAGAATTTATGCTTACCAAAAGAACTGGGATGTTGGTTTTTTTTGCAAACCGCAGCAAAGCTGATGTGCATTCCCTAACCTGTCATTGACTAAATAGTGTCACTCCTTAGCAAAAATACTGCCCTCACACCAACTGAGAATTAAACACCCCCACTCCCTAAAAGACACACACAAGTATATTGTTATATAAAACTTTTTATATAGCCATTGCTAACACTTTAACAGGGAAACTAGTTGAACTTTATATGAAAAATAGGATTACTTAAGGAAGGACAAAACATTACAAAGAGAAAATGGTTTATGTAGTGCTAACGATTTTAAACATATAAGGCTCAGAACTAAGTCAATCCGTATGTAATGCCAAAGGGTAAGGATAAAAGCAATCCACAAAGGTTATGGTGCAAAAATATTCCAACCTGTGAGAGACCTCCAGCACTTCCAGTAACTTCCTTTAAATACACTGTTTGAATTGAATCAACAATCAGAGCCCGAGGCGAGAGGGGCTGAATTTTCACCAATATGTCCTGAAAGGCAGCAATTCCACCAATTATTTTAAGATTCACCAACTGGTTCGCTGTACAGGGAAAATCATACATTTCATTTCCAATATGGTAGATCACCAATACTCTTTCAATCTGGAAGATAAGTGGACAAAACAGCTAAGAGGGGGAAAATTTTAAGAAAAAGATTTCGCAATTATAAGCAGTCAATTGATTGAGGATGAAACTTGGTGCAACAGGAAGGCTGGTTGATATGAGAGGAGGTCATAGGTTCAGGTTGCAGATACAGCCTCACCAAAAAGCAGGCATATGGCTGCATGTTTCCATCCCTCCCAATATCACACAATGTCAATCCTCATGCACTAGGCTCAGTTTAAGACCTAGTCAAGAGCCTTTTTCAGTTTGCTCACACCAGAAAACCTAATGTTTCAGACTCTCCCTTCTCCTCCAGATAGATCCTGCCACCCTTTTGCATTGAAAAGATGTGGCTGCATCTTTCTAAGCATTTCAAGTAATTGAGTAAGTAATTTTAAGCTTTTCCAGGTGATTGAGTAAGTAATTTTAAGCTTTTTAAGTAATTGAATTAATAACTGAGTCATGGTAATTTAAAACAGAAAAAGCTTACTTTTCACAGAAGATCCAGTAGTAGCAGAAAAGTATATTACTGCTCCTTTGTTAAAAGAGAAACTAAAAGGGCCAATAAGATCATATTGACAGAATTATGAGTCAACAAGTGGTGTAAAGAATAACAGATAGATGATGATAAGCAAAATTAGTGAAAATAAATTCAGAGTCATTTACCTCAATATCCGTTCCAGAGTATAGGAAAAGTTCATTTGCTCCAATCTTCATACGTTCAGCTCTGCTGCTAATTTGTTCAACACTCTGCCACAAGGAAGCCACAAATGAATTTTAACACTCTAACTTACCAAATTAATATCATCATGCTGGCATATTCATGGAAAAACATTCATTGTCTTAATAGTGCTAAGGTCAATCACTTATCTATATGTGAAATGTAGTAAAGCTTGGAGAGCTGACCAGTATGAGGCTTCACGAAAACAAACCTCTTCGCCAGAGACATATACTACAGAAGCAGGTTCATCTGAGTCTTGCCCCTCAGCAATTAAAGCAGCCATCTATAGAGTAAGAAGAGAATTTAACATCACAAGACAGCTATTGCCAATAAAAGAATGTCAATATGAGTTGACAACAGAAGAGTATCCTTTCTTAGAAAAGATAAGAGAAAGATAATGAAAGAAGAACGAACACCTTCAAATGCTACAAACTTGTACCTGCAACAGTAAGGTACTCTTTCCAACGCCAGGATCACCACCAATCAAAACCAATGAACCTTTAAACCAGAAAATTATACACAAATGGAATAAGCTTTCATTAACTCAACATATCAAATTTAAGCAATTATTTAAGATGCATTCTGATCACAGTATCATGGTTTTCTTTCTTTTCCAAACTTTTTAGAGGCCATAATTTCAAAATTAATTAACAGAAAGATTATGAACATGAACCAAACCTGGAACAAGGCCACCACCAAGCACCCTAGCAACTTCATTACCAAAGGGTCCAAGCCTACATATTACCAAACAAAAACATGTATTGATATATACCTAAATAGAATGTTTTCAAATCCTTTAACTTTCGGGAAAAGAAAAAGGAACTTACAGTGGAATCCGGTAATCCATCTTCCTAATCCCACAGTTAACATCCATCAATCTAACTGGTTCCACATCCCCTGCATCCTTTCGGAGCCAAGACCGCAACACAGTTTCCGAAAATTCTAAGCCTCTGTTCTTAGTGTCTCCTTCCGTAAACCTCTTCATCGTCCCAGAACGATCACAAGAACGGCAAACTCCCCACCACTGTCCATCTGAGTATCCACAATCCTCACAAACCCACCTAACTTTACCTTTCCCTTTCTTCTTATTCCCAACTATGTCCAGTCCCAACCCATTAACCGAAAACGTCTTCTTTCGGCTCATCCCATCAGTGTTATCCTTGGAAGAATAACGAGCCCTATCGTTAAAACCTGAGAATCCCTTCTGGATTTTGGTTCCATTACTCCAATTAGCATTTTTGGCCTTCCCATAAGTCCTCTCAGTCTCGAAATCCGCATTTTCTTCGTCTCCGGAACCCGACTCCATATCCTGGTTAGTGCTTTTCTGCTTGCTGCGACGGATGGAGAGCTGACCGGTGAGTGGCTCGTAGACGGTCCACACACGAGGGGTTTTGTCGGTTCCATCGGTTTCAGGGATATTTAGAGCGAACCGGGGGCTGGTTAAGTGGAAATGGCGGGAAAGGAAGGAGATGGAAATAGGGATTCTGGTGGGATTAAGGAGAAGGAAGTGTTTATGGGCGTAGTAAATTGATCTTATAGCTTTCATTTCTATGATTTTGCATAAGAGAAACTGTGAAGTAGTCTGGGAATGCGAGGGAGAGAGGGATTTTTTCTGTTTCTAGAGCAGGGTTTAGCTTAGGGTTTTGGCGGAAGATTGAAATGACAGAGAGGAGAACCCCGCCAAGTTTTAAACAAGGCGCTTAAGATCTTGCTTCCAACTTCTAACAGCCCAATGTCCTCAACTCTCAATTCCCATGTCTTTCCGAAGCAAAATGCAGTAAAAATTAACTCCAACATCAAATACTTACTCTGTCAACCCAAATTACTCAGAAAATGTCACTAACAATTTAAATTCACTTCCAGCAATATTAGAAGCATAGAGTATCGACTTAAAAATAGTTTATGGATTAAGGTTACAAATGACCAACAAAATCTTCCCTTCTTCATTGGTCCAGATTTAAAAGTTTGGACCAGCTGCGAGGATCTCCTCAGTCTGCTTGTTGTCCTTGCCAATCTTGTAGTTTGTGAAGGTCTCAAAGTTGTTCTTCCACAGGCCAACCAATTTCAACAGTGTGTCCTTATATGCACTGCGGGATCCAAAATTTTGCACAAAGATGATTAGAGAATAATTATACAAAATTGTGAATGGAATAAATAATTTGATTTGGAGTAAAAATTAATTATTCTTGAACTAAAATTAAATTATAAGGTAAATTTTTATTAACAATTTGAATATAAATTTTTAAATTTATTAATATAAATAGACATAAAATAAAAATAAAAATTAATATTAAGTTTTTACATTAAGTATTGTAAGTTATGCTTAATGTGTTTTTATATTTTCAAATTCATCAATAACTAAATCTGTATTAATATTTTTAGCAATTACTTTGTAGCTATTTAATTTGAATAAGCAAGATAAGATTATTAAAAATTTTTAAATATTTTAATCATATTTTTGTTTAATTTTTTATGTTAACGCATGACATATTGCATAACTACTTAAATTAAATCAACAAATTGTAAGAAAAGTTGAAGCAAAAAATTATACTCTTAAGTAAAATATTTTTCCAAAAACATTTTCAGGACTTATGCTTATTTGAAAAATAAAAAATTAATTTTAGATATAAAACATTTTATAAATCCATAAGATTGATCACGTAAAATGTCTTACGTCCTTGAAGGGCATAAGACATTTTCTAGAAAACAACAAAAACATTTTTATATTAAATTTATAAGTATAAGTTTAATGAATATTAATATTTAACTTAAAATATTAATTTAAAATATTAATATTTTAATTATACAATACTACTAAAATTAAAACTTTTTTTAATGAAATCATTCAATGCATAAATTTTTTTATTTATAAATTGAATAAATCTTACTAATAATTATAATAAAAATATTTCAATGATTTTCATTTCATGAATACATATTTAAAACAGGTTTAAATCTAACTAATAATTATAATAAAAATATTTTAATGATTATTATTTAATAAATGCATATTTATAAGTATATGTTTTGGATATATTGCACAATTAATAAATATTTATAATTTTATAGTCATGATAAAAAATTGATGAGATAAATTTTTAAAAAAAAATTAAAGTTTTTTTCAATTACAGAAATGTGGTTAAATTTTTGAGAAATATCATTATTAATTTTGTTCATTTTCATTTCCATTCTTAATTTGATTCCAAATTAGTGAAAACCAAATATCAATATTATTTTGTAATCAACCCCTGTTTATTATTTTAACCCTTATATAACTCCGCTATGATAGAAAATATTTTTCATAAGATAATCCAAATAATAGAAAATGATTTTGACAGTTTAACCAAACAATAAAAAAATACTAAATTTTTCTGTAAAATATTTCACATAAAAATTTTTTTCTTTCAACAAGTTATTTTTCGATTACGGACCCTAACTAATATATCTTTTACTCCATAAAATGATAACATATTTTATATAATAATATAAAATATTTTAGGAAAGTTATGCTAAAAAATAAAAAGTTTTTTTAAAAAATACTTATTATATAAGTGTTTAAATCAAATCAACAAATTGTAAGAAAAATCAAAACAACAAATTTTACTCTCTAGACAATTATACTCTTTACTCTATAAAAAAAATTTTAAAATTTGGATTTACTCTTATAGTTAAACAATCTCTCTAAGAAAAAAATAAAGAAAAACTAATTTCAAAATTTAGATTTACTCTATAAAAAAAGAAAAATAATTTTAAATTTTGGACCTCAAAGAAATTAAGTCAAGCCTCTAACATTTAACATAAATGACTTACCACTATAACAAGCTAATTCATTTTAATTAAATAGGAGAGACAAATTTATATATTTATAATTTTATACTTATAAAAACAAAAAATAAAAATAAAAACAGAGGGACAGCCGTCACAGCTTGTGTGCCTTGTTGTCAGCCCAGGTATTCTGTGGACGCAAGATTTCTCAAGGCACTCTTCCAATCTCGGTGGGGGTCTGCAGCCCAAACACCTCAGTTTTCTGGCAAGTTGCATTCAAGAGGCTGCCAGAGTGAATGGCATCAATGATTTCCGGTGTATGGGAACTTGATATGGCTTCCATAGCCATAGCTTCCACCAGACCAGCCAGTGTTGATAAGGCATCCTGTTGCCATCCTTAGTAGGGTGCAACGTGATAACTTGTTATTTTATATATAATTATTATTATTTAAAAATAAATTTAAAAAAAAAGCATTCATTTGCAACTTGATATTAATATGTATGAAAGTACAGATGTTGAATTTTTTTTAATGATGAAAACATAAATTTTAAGGCATTATATTTCTATATTGTAATAATCCGTTTTAAATAATTTTTAATTTTTATATAAATAATATTTATAATTTTATGTAGTAGGATTGAAACGAGAATGGTAATTCAAATTAAGAAGTAAGCACAATTGCGATAAAATCTAATCTTATTTCTAAATTGACATTTAAAGTTTTTTATTATTATTCAATTAATGAATTGAATATTTAACTCATTATACTTTTAAATTATCATTTTTTATTTGAAATAATTTTCAATTATTATATACAAATATTTACAAAAGGATTGAAATTTAAACTAAGAGCTTGTTTGGCCTAACTTATTTTTAATTTAAAAGTTATTATTAGGCTTTTATGAAAAATAATAGCTTTTAGAATTAATTAAAGTTATTTGGTAAACTATTGAACAAAATAAATTGTATAAGCTCTAATTTCGATTAAAATTATCATAAAAAATATTTATCCCATCTTCAATCACCTAATAAGTTATAATGTAATGCTTCAAGTTTATATATAATTTTAGATATTAAAATTAAAAAATTAATAAAGAAACGAAATAATTCTCAAATTTATATAATAGCAATAGTATTAAATTTTTGTTGATCTAGCAAGCAATCGGACCATGATACTTTAATTCTAAAAAAAAGAAAAGAGGAAATGATGTATTTAACATTAAAATCTTTTTTGGTGAAAATAAGAGAAAACCTTTATATAGTATCTGAATGTAATTTTAAATTTTAATTTTTTTTCTTAATTTTTGTAAAAATAAAAAAAATTCTAGATTTTGATATTCTGTTGTTCGGTATTTTATTTTTTTAATACAATTTTGAATTTTAATTTTTTTTCTCTTAATCTTTGAAAAAACAAAAAAATTTAAAATTTTGATATTCTGTTGTTAGGTCTTCTAGTTTTTTAATAATTTTTGTAAAGAGAGGTAAAAGAGAGGGAAATCGTTATTTATATTGAAGAATAGTAATTTACAAAGAGAAGGAAAGAAGAGAGAGATTGATTGGGAGATGATATTTTTTGAAAAATTAATATACTTTTTTTAAAAAAAGAAAAATAAGCTCTCCCTAGAGTTTTTCTTTAAACTTTTTTTTTTAAAATTTTATTATTTAAAAAAATATTTTTTTTAAAGAGCTTCTCAAAAAATCATGTTTAGCTTGACTTTTACTTTTAAGAGATAGATAAGTTGAAAAAAAATTAAACTAAATAAATATTAAAAAAATAGACATAATTATTAAATAGGATAAAATCTAATTTTATTTTTAAATTTTCATTTTAAATATTATTTAGAATAAATATTGATAAGCTTTATCCAATTTGTAAATAAAAATTCTAATTGTTTTGAATAACTTTCATTAGAAATATTTTACTTAATTTCAAAATTATTGAATAATTTATAAATTAATATTATAAAATTAATTAAATCATTTATACTGTAAATTCTATATTTTAAAATAATTATAAATATCATTATATAATAATTATTATTATAATAATCTACCGATATTAAAAGTTGTTCGTAAAGTAGCTAATTGGTTGACACTTGTATGCCTAATTGTTTGACACATGGTAGAATGATTTGGACTAAATTGTCCTTAGCACTTGTTTTTCTTATAACATTTGATTTCGCCGGCTTGTCTTGTCAAGGGACTGGACGAATCAATTGGCAATGCTGTTCTGGAGCAGATGGGTTCAATGTGGGGTCAAGAGGTGAAACTTGGATTGGGTATGAACAAGTGCGAAAAAGCTAGCCACCAGGATCGATTTCATGGCGGCGCTCCAAGATGCAAAGAAAAGAGAGGGGAAGGGCTAGGAGGCTACCGTCAAAACTATGGTTTTGGACGAATCGAATGGAATGCCGCTCGCATTTCTCAAATTACAAAATAACCAACAAGGAACAAGTGTAGTATATATGCTCTGAATTTCACGCTTTCCCCGTGCTTTTGTTTCCGCCATAGCTGTCAATATAAAAGAACTATAGATGCTATTACCATTTGCCAATGAATATAATGCATAGGTAATATTTAATTTAATAAAAAATTAGTTATTTTTTTATATTATTATTATTGCTCTAATATTTAATTCAAAGTCTCATTTCTTATATAATTATTATTATTGCTGTATATGCATTCATGATAGGTCTTAGTATTGTTTCCATTTCCTTTAAACGTAAGTGAGGTGACCTTCCATGCTTTATTATTATTAATTTTGTGAGCTTCCGTGCTTTTACTTATCACGTGTGTTCCATTTATAAGCTATGACTCCATCGCCAAGTGTCACCTTCATTAATCTCTCAAAAGTCAAGCACCTAACCTTCCAGGACAAGCGGAGAGCCAATCTTCGGATTAGATTCCAAAGACCCATGGCACAAGCAACTTACGCTAAGGAAGAACCAAACCTCTTTCTCTTTCACCCAATTAAAGACTGCAACTACCCTTGCATTTAACGTAACACTGTAAAATATATTTGTTAAATTAAAAATATATAATATTTAAATAAATTATTAAATTATTTAAAAAATTAATTTTTTTAATTTTTTATTATATTTAATTAAATTTTTATATTTTTATTTTTAGTTAAATAAATTTTTATAATTAATAATTAATTAATTATCATCAATTAAAATAAAAATATAAAATTTTAATTAACTGTAATAAAAATATAAAAACTTATTTAAATTTTTTATATAATTGAAGACTTTTTTTAAAATATTATATTATTAAAAAAATACCAAAAAGTTTCATGCATTTTTTATAGTAATTTGAATCCTTATTTTGTATAGATTTACTTGAATTTTATGTTGATTTGTTCAATCATTTGATGGTTTATCGATTTCTAAATTTAAATAAATGTAATATTATAGGAAAATTTGGGAGCATCTTCTTGTTGTCAAAAGCAGCGTCTACTTGGCATCAAATGAGCCAAGAATCCAAACTTCATTTTCTCCATTAACAAACAAAACCAAACCCTTGCTCTCTTTTTCAAACTACTTTTGAAAACATCGCATTCGGACCTGAAATAAAGACAGAAACCAGCGACGACCCCAATATTAATTTATTCATATACAGTACCATATTTCATGTTGCCACTATAATATCATGCTCTGTTTTGCTGCATAACCAAACAGACTGTCAGACGTCCAAATTAACCAAAAAAAAAAAAGAAGAAAAATAGCAACCTCAATTCAACGCAGAACATATTAAACCAAAATTAAAAAAGAGAAGACGTTACTGTTTTGTTGATTCTTGCTGGTTTTCGATGCGTTTGAGGATCCTATGATAGTGAGTCCTCTTGTTTCTCTTTCGAGATGGGTTTTATTTTCTGTCTGGATGTTACTTGAATTCTAATGGGTTTTGCTTATTGCATAAATTTTTCTTTCCTTCTTCATTGTTTCCTGTTAATCTCAGGTGGGTTATATATATATATATATATTTTTTTTTTGGTTTGAACTTTGAGTTTATATTACTTATAGGTGTCTAATATTAGCATATTTGTATTATGAATAATCATATATATATTTTTTGTTTTCGTCTGTTTATCTGTCGATCTTTCTATTTTTGGGCAAGCAGTTTAACCTTTGTTGCCTCTTAGATTTTTATCGTGAAATGGATCATATGGATTTCGTTGCTTTACTTTGTTCATCTAGAATTCAATCAATAATTAATTGTTGTTCTTTGTTGTTGGTTTCTTTAATTTTTACATTTTTAGATGGAAGATGGTGAAGAAGAGGATTCTCGAAATTAAACGTTTTCAGTTATGATGTTAAAGGAAAAAAGAGATTTAAGGCCGCTTTTGGTGAAATTGGGAGTGGCTATTGCTCTCTCTTTTGCTGGATTCCTTTATTCTCGACTTAGAACCCGAAAGTTCAAACCATATTTGCCTCGCCCTCCATCACCACGCGTTTCAGGTTGGCTTTTAGCTTGAATTGATCTTTTTGGTTTTGGTTTTTATTAATTTATTTGGATTTTGAACTTTGTTCCTACTTTGATTATACAGATCGTGGCAGCAAGGTTGATTCCAGAGGAAAAGATCGGTATAAAGATGATGCTCAAGCCTTAAAGATATCACCAACTTCCGGCCCTGTAAGTTTCCTTGGATAATACTAACGCCTTCAACATTTATTTTCCTTTTTGGATCAATTCCAATTGTATAATATTGATAGGTAGATATATGTGGAATTGTAATTTTAAAATGCTATTAAATTAAAACCTTTTTTTCCATCCTTGGTGACATCTCTTGTTGGTATTTCTTCAATTGGAGAAAGGAAGGAGGGGTGAGCCTTATATTTGTATTCTTCGGCCTAACTGGCAGAAGGGAAACTTGTGTTATGTAAATCTTGTAATGGTTTCCACAGTATGAATATCTGTTTTCATGGTCCAAAAAACCCTCTAATGGAATCTGCAGATCTTTGTGGAAATCAAGGAGCCATTGATGGTTGGAATATTTGTCAGTTTTATTCAACTAATGTACACGATGAAACCTGCGGTGTTTGTCTGCAAGGGAATCAGGGGAAAGTTTGCAAATATGGGAATTTACCAGGGCCTCTGAAAATAACTGCTTAAAGTATCCTTTTCTTATGTGGTTTAGGTGCACCGAGAGGCTTCTGCTTTATGCCTTAAACAAATTGTCTTCAATTTGTTACTTGTTCATTCCTATCTAATTTGGGGATTAAATGATTACATGTGCTAAAACTGTTCAATTTCATAACAGTTGTGAATTTATGTATGACTAGAGGAGGCTGAATGTGTGCCACATGATGTTAGTTTCTGAGGTTCAATATATGCCTGTGCTGATTTTATTTCCTGAATATGCTATTTTGTTTTCCTTCTGTCAGGAAGAGATGCACATGCAACGAGCTAGTGTTGATAATGCTTCTGTTGGTCTTTCCCCAAGCATTAGACACAGTGGAGATGGGTTTCTCCTGCCAGAGTTTAATGATCTTGTTGAGGAATATGACTTTTCTGCCACTGGTGCTGGGCCTTCTCCTAAGAAGGAAGTAGAGACACCAAGGTCAGATGTGGATGCTTCAAGAACATTTAGAAGTGCTGAAAAGGATAATTATGAGGAAGAGATTAAGCATCTGAGAAATATGGTAAGAATGCTTAGAGAGAGGGAGAGGAATCTCGAGGTCCAGTTACTGGAGTATTATGGCCTTAAAGAACAAGAAACTGCAGCTTTGGAGCTCCAAAACCGCTTGAAGATAAACAATATGGAGGCTAAGCTTTTCGCTCTCAAGATTGAGTCCTTACAGTCAGAAAACCGAAGATTAGAGAGCCAAGTCGCTGATCATGCAAAAGTTGTAGCTGAGCTTGAAACTGCAAGATCCAGAATTAAGCTGCTAAAGAAGAAACTTAGGCATGAGGCGGAGCAGAACAGAGAGCAGATCCTAAATCTTCAAAAGAGGGTTGCTAGATTGCAAGAGCAAGAACTTAAGGTTCTTGCAGATAATCAGGATATTGAATCAAAGTTGCAAAGGCTAAAGGCTTTGGAAGGTGAGGCAGAAGAGTTGAGGAAATCTAATAGGAGTTTGCAGACAGAAAATTCTGAACTGGCTCAGAAGTTGGAGTCCACCCAAATCCTTGCAAATTCTGTTTTGGAGGATCCTGAGGTAGGTAGTTCATTTGCGTTAAATGCTCTTCCTTTACATTGTTACTAATGTAATTATTCTTGGATTATGTTTCTGGGTGTGTTTGGTTGCAGACAGAAGCATTGAATGAAATGAGTAACTGTCTGAGGCAAGAAAATGAAGACTTGACAAAGCAAATCGAGCAGCTTCAAGCAGATAGATGTGCTGATGCTGAAGAACTGGTGTATCTCCGTTGGATAAATGCTTGCTTGCGGTATGAGCTGAGGAATTATCAACCCCCTCCCGGTAAAACAGTTGCTAGAGACCTAAGCAAAAGCCTAAGCCCAAAGTCGGAGGAGAAAGCCAAAAAACTGATACTTGAATATGCACATACTGAAGGAATGGGGGATAGAGGGATGAGTAGCATGGATTTTGATTGTGATCAATGGTCTTCTTCCCAAGCTTCCTATGGTACTGAGGCTGGAGAACTAGATGATTCTTCATTTGAGAATTCATCCGCTACAAAAACCACCAATTCAGGAAAAATTAAGTTTTTCAAAAATCTTAGGCGACTATTGCGGGGAAAAGACGGTCATCATCATCATAGCCAGGTTTCATCAACAAGCAAAACTGATCATCTAGAAGATGTTGATTCTCCAACTTGGAGTTCCGGTAGAGGGAATGATTCCATAACCATGCTACAAAGCCATAGTGATAGAGTTACAACTCCATCTCTGAGTTCATGTAGACCGTCTTTGGATATTCCAAGATGGAGGAGTCTGAATGTTGATCATATTAAAGATGTGGAAAACTTTCGAAGAAGTAGTGACTGCAGTTCTTATGGATATAAAAGATTCATATTAGGCAGGGATGATGCTTCTGAGTCTCCTCTTGAGCACCTACTCGATCAAGACTCCGACTCCAAATCTGACTTGGTCAAGTTTGCCGAAGTTTTAAAAGAATCAGAACCACGGAGAGGAAAGATTCACAAGAAATCAGCAAGCATCATATAAGTTTAGTTGATAGTGATATGTGTAGCTTGTTATTATACATAGTTAGTCCACATGTAACATATCACTCTACTGCTGAAAATCCAAATAGAAACACTTGAAAAAGCATTAAAACTAAATTACCACTTCCGTATACTCTCTTTCGTTTGGAAACAATGCAATGTTCGTGTTCATGCTGGGCTTCACTAAAACACCAAGGCCCAAAACCTGCAGAGTCAGTTTTGTCATGTATTCGACACGTGTCAGTTCGATAGAGCGAGTTTACAAGGGTGAAAGATCCTTATGTCGCGTGAGGTCCGTACAGCTACAAGCTAATAATCCAAATGCCAATAAGCCGTACTACACAAACCACCACCTTACTTTTTTTAACCCAAACAAAAAAGAAGCAAAAACCCTCCCTCTCTCTCTCTCTGGGTTTAAGCAAAAACGAAAAAACGTAATGGCGTCAGCACCACCACCATCGATGTCTCTTCCACCTCTGCCCCTGCCACTACCAGCGACAACGGTCGCAGGAGGGGTTTGGAATCCTCTGCAAAGAGCGTCATTGTACGTGGGTGATTTGGACCCGGATGTTACAGAGCTTGACCTCTTTCGCATATTCTCTACCGTTGCTCCCATTGTCTCTCTTCGCCTTTGCCGATGTCTCCGTACCGGAAAGTCTCTTCGTTACGGTTATATCAACTTCTTCTCTCACGCTCATGGTATTTTTCGTTTTTTCTTTCTTGGGTTCTCCTTTTCTTGAGTTTTTTCTTTAAAAGCTCTGTTGTCTCTGTTTGTCGAAGTTTCTTGGAGTGTTTTTTCTTCATTTTATGTTAACAATTTGCGTTTCCTTGTTTGTCTCCCTTTAACTTGTTTCTTTGCTTGCATGCATTCGTTTTCTTGGAATCTCTAGCTTTCAATATGGCTATAAAATCTGTTGAATGCTCTGTTTTGCCAAGTTTCTAGGGCTCTTTTACGTGGAATTTTCTTCATTTCATTAGGTGAATATCGAAGTGTTGTCCCCTACATTCTTGTTTGTTTCATGTTGGTTTCTCTGAATCTGTTCAACTAAGCTTGGCATCTTCATTGTTCAATATACTGGACAATTCTTGCCTTGTTTTTTTTGAGTTCTATATATCTAGGTCCTTATCTCTTCTTTTCCATTTTTTTTTGCGTTTCTGTAGAATGTTGTATACATTTTTGCTCTGTATTTTTTTCTGTTTCTTGAGAACTTTCTCATTCTAGGGTTTTGCTTTGCATTTTTTTCCCTCTTGATATTCTGCATTACTTCTGCCGTTAATCCGTTAATGAATATTTAATTTTTTTTCGTCTGTTTCCCCAGTGTGAATGAGTCTTTTTTTTTTTTTTTTCCCTTTTAACCACCAATTATTTTGCATTACTCTGGATTCCTACTTTTGGTGATGATGACTGTCTGTCATCTGAGGAGTTTATTAATGCTTATCCTCTGTTTTGATCAGCATCTAAAGCTTTAGCATGTCTAAACCACACTGACCTGAAGGGAAAACCAGTGAGGATAATGTGGTCTCATAGAGATCCTTTGCCTCGAAAGATTGGTCTTGCCAATCTCTTTGTCAAGAACCTGGACCCTACTGTCACTAGTGCTCGCTTGGAGGGAATCTTCTGTCGATTTGGGACTATTCTTTCTTGTAAGGTTGCTGAAGAAAATGGCAAGAGTAAAGGTTTTGGATTTGTGCAGTTTGATTCAGAAGAATCAGCTAAGGCTGCCACAACCGCTCTCCATGATACTATGCTTGAAGGGAAGAAGTTGTAAGCATTGTGATCTTATTTCTCTCAGATACTTTCTCAATCCTGATACCTCCTTTGTAAAGGCTTCTTAACTATATACTTGTGTTAACTGTTAGTTTTTTAAGGGTTAATATGTTTTGAGATTGTGGATTCCTTGATACTTATTGTCTGTTTCTATGCTCATTAGAGGACCTATACTTCTCTTGATTATCCTAACCTTCAATGGGTGAATGCCTGAATGATATTGTTCATCTGAGTTGCATTATGGTTCTTGAAAACGAAAAGATGAAAAAGGAAGTTGATGATTAAGAATAATTGAGGGCTCTTTTCAAGATGTAGCTGAGGCCTAAGATCTTTCACGGAAAGCAAAACCATATACTTTATACAGTTATACTTGGTGTGATTTTGGAGCCTCCAGAATAGTCAATTGAATGATGTCAGATGGTAGAACATTTTTTCTAAGATACAGTAAGATGGAGGTCGTATACTCCTGTCCTCAATTTTCAGTTCTCCTGTAATTAGTCCAACAGCCAAAAAGGAATCATTTTCTTGCATTCGTCTTCTCTTTTCCTCGATGGCCAGCTGTATTCTTACTTTTCAGGCCTTATGATTTTGGTTAACTTTCATTCGGTGCTTTTGTTTGTGATTGTTCTTAATCCATCCCTTCCATTTTTTCGCTGCAAGTTTTTTCTTTTAATTTTTATTACTTGTTTCCTTATTTGCTTTTAATTCTATATAAAATTTCTGTTTCATTTACTTCTGCCTCCCCTCCCAGACAGTTCTACTTTTGTTTGTTTCTTTCCTGGGTAACCTCTGGATTGAAATGGTCTTTCATCTATTTCTTTACACGTTTTTGTGTTGTTGATTTGTTAAATTAATGGCTGCTTTGTTTATTGCACTTCCTTGGCAGATATGTGTCCAAATTTGTCAAGAAGAGTGAAAGGACAGCAGGTGCTGAAGGAGAGAAGTTCACTAATCTATATGTGAAAAACCTGGTTGATGGCATGACAGAGGATCTCCTTGGAGAAATGTTTTCTAGATATGGGAAGGTTTGCAGCGTTGTAGTCATGAAGGATGGCAATGGGAGCTCAAGAGGTTTTGGGTTTGTCAACTTTCAATCCTCGGATGATGCTAAGAAAGCTCTGGAGGCAATGAATGGTGTACAACTGGGTAAAAATTGTCCTTTTCATGTTTGTTTCCTTTGTTTTAAACTTAGCAGTTCATCCAAAAGATTAATCATTTAGATATGTAAAATTGATTTGTTAATCAGGTTCAAAGAATTTGTTTGTTGGAAGGGCTCAAAAGAAGGCTGAAAGGACAGAGCTATTGAAACATAAGTACAAGTATGTATTCAACAGTCGCTTTGAGAAATTGAAGGCTTCAAATCTCTATGTGAAGAACCTCAATGTATCCATTGATGACAAAAAATTACAAGAACTTTTTGGTCAGTTTGGAAAAATAACCTCAGCAAGGGTGATGCGCTATGATAATGGGATGAGTAAGGGATTTGGCTTTGTGTGCTTCTCCTGTCATAGAGAAGCAATGTCAGCTTTACATGGGCTTAATGGTTAGACAACGTTCCCTCTGCCCTTCTCCCCTGTCCTGATAATTTGAGTTGTGATTCCTTTTGAAGATTTTTGAAGGACATTTTATGGTTATTAACGTGAATTTGCAATTGCTTAGGAACCTTTTTTGAGGGAAGGAATCTGTATGTGGCAGTAGCTCAGCGTAAAGAAGATCGCCGCTTGGAATTGCAGAACTACTATGTGCAAAACACCCCGGTACAGTCCTCATATCAATCAAGTTGCAAGGCCGTTACCCCTCAGTTCTGCCCATTTTACTTCAGTATCCCTCCTTGCCCTCCTCTTTTCCCTCTGCTGCCCCAGCCAACCTTATCTCAGAATAGTATTGCAAATGTGGGCATTCAGCATTCTTTTGCAACATCACATGACCAGCAAAACTTCTCATACGTAAGCATGTATCTCATTTTCTTGGAAACTAGTTTTTCTTACTGCAGTTCTGTTCTGGCATTTATTCTTGTATTGCTCATGACTTTGCAGGATCTTATGAGAAACATGCATCCAAGCAATGCCGGGATCAGAAGAGATTGGGTGTGCAGACAGAGTGTATGAGCTAAACTTTTTTCTTCAAATGAATAGTTTTTAATTTGCATACTCTTGATATTTGCTAATGGAATCCCTTTAGCAAGTCTGTATATAACATTTTCTTTTGTAATTTGCTTATTTGTTTGTCGGATTAGATTTTGCTTTTGCAATAAAATTTCCCCTCTCTTACAGCCTATGACATATGCTAACCCTGATGTTCGAATCCAAGAGCTGGGCCGTGGGAATTCTGGGAGTAAGAAAGTAGGCTTCAGGAAGAAGGGAAACAGAAAGTATGAACCTGCAGAAAAATCCTCTGTAGCAGTAGCAGCTATCCAATCTGTTGCTGCTGCATCCCCTGGACGCTGTAAGAAGAACAATGAAAATATAACTTGCCCATTTGTAGAGAATCTTGAGGTTTGTGATTTATAATTTCTAGTAGAATATCTTCTTTTGAGGAGAATCTTTTGGTGTATGCATGTCTATTCTTTTTAATATGCAGCGAAGGTTACAGGAGAGCTATTGGGGATAAAGAATTCTGAAGTACTCAAGCTGCTGAGTCCTAATTCCATGGCTGCGCGAGACAAGCCAGTTCCAAGTGCTAAAGAAGGCAAATGCTAGGACCGGTAGAGATGCTGTTACTTTTGCCAACCCCAAATCTGCCCGTTGCTTAAAGCTACTAACTGGTGTCATCACATGATTCTAACATGCGTACTATTTTCCTTGGTGTTTTTTCAATTTTGCAAAATACTTGCTGCTGATGTATGAATTGCTATATGCTTTCTGGTTATTTTGGTGACTTTATGCTCTCCTATTGTATTGTGTCCAAAACTAAGAGCGACAAAGCGCAGGTTTCCTTTTTCTCATATCTGGAGCTTTTCTGATCATGCTGCCTTTTCCTACCCTTCCTTCTACATCTTTCTCTTTGCAGTTCATTTTTTAGGTTGTAAGATGCATTTTTATGAATTGTAAACAAAAACCAAAAAGAAAAAAAAAATAAAAGGGGACAAAAGAGGATACATTGAGGAAAATGAACGGCAATTCCATTATCCTCAATTAACTTGGAGATCTTTGGTAACAATTTCTTTAACTGTATGTCACAAAACTAAATGAAATCATCTTGATGGATATTGAATTTTCTGGCACACATTATTAGACAGACAAGCGTATGCCATATAAATAATTTTTTGATCAAGGTGATAATAAAAGAGTGCTAGCACGCTTAGTACAGTTTCGAAGGGCAAATAGATATGTGTCTTCTGAATCAAATAAGGGCAAGGCCCTGAGTAATCAATGCATCAGCAAGGACCTGATTAGCAGCCTGAGATGGGTGAACACTGTCCCAAAACACAAACTGGGTGGCATTAGGACAAGTTCCTGGTGTCTTCGGATTGCACAAGAATGCGGTTGTCTCCACTGTCCCTGTTCCACAGCAACCTCTTTTTGCTTCCACGAAACCTACCAGAACAGGTTCATAAATTAACTCATAATGCATTGCCTATATATCAATTCTATTCACCAATTAAAAAGGGTTTTACTCTTTCCCTTACCGTATTTTGAAGGAGATTTAACAACATCATAAAATGCCTTGAAAATGTCAAAAACCACAATCTTAAGATCAGGGTGCTGCTTCTGGAGATTGGCTGCAGCCGAGTTGAGCTTTTTATTGAATTGCTGAGCATCGGTATTGAACCTGGAGACACATCCCTCCTCGTGGTAACCAAACAATGTTCTTGCTAAGGGAATACAACCTAACGGTGGGAGAGAAGTAACTCCAATTTTCCTGGCTCCCAAGCCATACAAGTTCTGTTGTCAATCACAGGCATACAAAATTTATCAAGATGCAGTTATTCAAAGTGACAATAAGAATTTCATTGAGTTTTCCATGCTTGAGCTTTAATCTAGTCTTTATATATCTGCACAACCCACAAAAGTGTTCTACCAGAAAGAAAAACCATTATTTAATAGCTATATACCTGGACAAAGCTTGTGAAGGCATCAATAAGGATTGAGCCGTACTGGTCTGCAGTATAGACATGGTTAATTAAAGGATTGACATAGTAGTTCTGGAGAAAGTCACCGCTTCCAGCACTCAGTACATACAAAGCATCCTTGATTATGGAAGCTGATTTGCTACTGCCAGCTACCGTCGCTAGCTTTGCCTGGTACTCCTTGAAATACTCTACCTGCTGGGTCAATGTGATAGCATGCTGCAACAAAACAAAATACAATAATTTAACAAAATTTGAGATTGAAAGACAGAGAAATCAGAAACTTTATACTACAAGGCTATTGTAAGATTAGTACAAAAGGAACTGTATCTTTATCATAAGGTTAAAATCTCACATTTATCATGGCTGCATTGTCATCATAGCCAGATCCAGCTGAAGCAAAATTGGCTCCAATAAGAAGGTTCTTCCCTGATGCTTCTGGGCTAAGATAAGCCGGTGGATAGGTTGTAAACCCCAGTGTGTCAGCTACAAGAAGGAATTTCATTTCAAACTTGTTAAATCCATTTTACCAAAAAAAGTATGCTGATAACTATTAGCTAAACAGAGCTGGTGCGTTCTTCTACTTACCAGTGATGTCAGTGGCCAATTTTCCATTGCAAAACCTCCCAGTAGGCTTATGATTGGCGAAGTCCCTTCCGTAAGGAGGGTAATTAGCCTTGAAGATGGTGGGGAGATAGTCATTGTTGCCGACATCTACCGCAGAGTCCCCAAAGGTTATGATTGCCGGAACAACAGTAGTTGACCCTTGTGCATACCCTCTGCTTACTAACGCAAATGCAAAGACCAAAAACAGTAACCTTGCGCTATAAGCATCCATTTTCTTTAGCAAGATAGTACTTTGAAGCCGTGAGCACCGGGGTAGCCCTTATAAGCCGACCGAAAGTGACTAGAATTGGCCTGTCTTGAAGAAGGAAGATGGGGGTTGAGAAAAGCCAATAAATGAGAGTAGTTCAAGTGAATATTATCATTCATGTACGACATTTTTAGATAGCTAATAAACCAATTTCCATCATAGGCTCAGATTTTTTGTTTCTCTATTCTTTTCTGTTAGTCATAAAATGTAAAGATAGAGAGAAGCTACATTTATGAATTTCTCTGTGTATCTGACCAAAAGAAAGAAAGGTAGTTGGATGATAATTAAGAGCGTTGCTTTTTGGATTGGAACCAGAGGGGAAACTGCATGTGCACGAGTTATTGGCAAATTGCTAAACAAATGTAATTAGTATGTTGCTCTTCTGTATTATTATTATTATCTTTAGTACTTGCATCCAGCTTTTGTAGTTTACACAGTATAAAATACCTATTATTTCTGAAAAAAGAGGTAAGAAAACTACTCAACAAAGCTTTTTCAATAAAGTCTGTGCTAATTATAGAGGTGTATATATATGTATATATAAATGAAAAAGACTTTTAATAAATTAATAATATCTTAATCATAACCGAATAATATCGTAGCTGTAATCACGTCAAAATCTCACTGTTTTAAATGTTAGGGGTTTTGAACCCATGTTCTAACAAGTTAAAAATGTGGACATTGATTGCGTAGCGGGACATGAAAGTCGGCCTATAGGTACAAAAATCAGGTAGGGTGTGGCCAGGAACATTGTTAAATCAGTCTAGGACTATGGTGCATGTTGGATTGTCACCCTAGTGCCACATATATCCTCAAAGTGTTTCCAGAGAATGCTACTGTAGCTAGGCCTAGGCTGCATAATGTGTTTGTCCCTTACGACCGGATTCCAGTTTCGAAGTTTATTTCCCTCGCTTTCCAGATCAAGGGAGTCAAAACTCTTGGTAAAAAGTTTTCCACATGGTCTATGGGGCCGAACTATTCTGCATGCGGTAATCTGGAGAACTTGGGATTTTAGAACAAATGAAACTTTGGTTTGAAGTTGTTGATGTAGAACAGTTTGCCAAGTTATTTTTGCAACAAATATTTAATTATGAAACAGGGAAATGAGTGAAAGGCAAGACTCATGACCCAAGTCAAGCCACGGGGGGACACCACCCATCTTCATTAATCGCATGATGCAAACAACCAGAAGGAGATTTTTCTAAAAAGTAGATAAATTGGATTCGATTTCGTCTTCGTACAGTTATAATATACCTGTACTATTTTTAATTTTTTAAACTGGTAACGTGGTCCAAAAGCAGTTGTTAGATTGTAACCTCAGGCTGTCTCTGGAATATAAATGAAATTGGATCTAATTGCTTGGGGGGTTGGGCGTTCATGGTCGTTGACAATATCCAGGCTGGCTCACTTTCGGCGGAGGAAAGATAGATTTAGGTGATCGGACCTAAGCCCAACAACTGGGGCTGAACTGGACTCTGAGTCATTGCATGTGTAATAAAAGCTTTGCCTGCTTTGCATGGCTGAAATACTTCCATGCTCTTTCTCTTTGGAAGACTTTATGGCATAATCAAATTGATTTTGAATTGCTTGTTGGACCAAAATAGGAAAACCTATATGATGTAGGAAGTGGAATTTATAAGAGTATCTCCTTGACTTAAAAACATTTTTGCAATGGTCAAACCTAAGTTCGGTTCACGCTTTCGCTGAACCTAGTCTTGTAGAGTTTACTTGGACTTTAGAATGGAGGTGAAAGATTTGACAAACATCTGGAAGAAGGCAATGCCAGTACTTCCAGAACTGCAGTATGGTAGGTGGATTAGCAGCCCAATGGTTGGGATAATAGAATAGAAATATCAGATATGGCAAGCTTTACTGAGCAAGGTGTCCTGCAAATTTCTCTTCAAGCAAAGTCTATAACATGCATTACACTTAATTTGACATAAGTCGCAAGACATTTTCCATTTATTTTCCTCGAAAATTAAACTCTTTCAAAGTTCCAAGAAACAACCTTCAATGGGTACTAAATGCCAGTGCAAGCTAGCAACACAACTTCTTCAATTAGTCTAGCCGATCAGTCTAATACGTATTCGATATTATGTTGACAAGGTTTATTTAAATTGCCAAAATGGAATATATAGCACAGCATTCATGTTCCATTTCTTTCTTCATGACCAACAATTTGTTTACCTAAACCAGCAGAAAGGACTGTTCGACATTTTCCTTTCTATCTTGTCTCTTTAATAACTTAAACGTGCATGGTAATCAATTATATGAGTGGTTCAATAACCTCAAAAGGTCTAACCTTAAATATTCAAATGAGGTTTATCTTATTAAAATTAAGAACATATATATTAAAATTTTATTCAAACTTTTATCTTGCAAAGTAAAAAATACTTGATTTTATATATAGGAAAAAAATAGTTGTTAGAGATATTAAATACATATTATCCTTAATTGATTGAAAATAGAAAAAATAGTTAAAAATTAATAACATAGTGGGAATAAGAAGTGATAAAAAATTGAAATTAATCAGACACATAATTTGAGAAGTAAGAGAATATGTTATTTTATTAATTATTTAAATTTTTATATATTTTTAATAAAAATGAGATAAATAGTTGATAAATTAATAAAGACGTGAAAGATAAGAGAAAATAGAAATTTATTAGTCACTTAATTTAAAAAGTGAAAAAATATGTATATATTTTATTGATTATTTTTAATTTTTTATACTTTTAATATAATTAATTATATTATTATAAAATTATGAGTCTATGAAAAGTCAGGAGAAAAGAAAATGAAGGAAAATTAATTACCTTGTTTAGATAAAAGAAAAGATCCACTAAGCTTGTCATGTTCCAAAAATCACTAATTCTTTAAGCAAATGAAAGAGGCGAGTGTGCAAGAAAGCAAAGGGCCTCTCCTCTGCTTTTCTGCAATTGGCCCAAATGCACATATTATTATGCTGGCGGTGATTCGCATCTTTTATCTTTCTTTTTGGAGAAGGAGCAGTTAAAACTGCTCCTGCTTC